GAGCTGATGAGAAGAACGTATATTCAGTGGATTTTGAGGTAGAATGTCCTGTAAATGTCAGTCGACCCAATTTTCCAGGGTTTTGTAAGTCTTATTTCTTTATTAGATATTTCTGTTTGGAGGTCTGTCTCCGCTGTCGTCAGTGGGGGTGAATCTCCGGGGGATTATTGGAGTTGCTATTGAATCCATTTGCTTAGATACCAGTAAGTTTGGCTTTATAACTGGGTGCCCTAGTTGGTGATATATATTTTAAAATTGTTATCTCTTCTTGTTGAGTGCCTTCACCAATGTATATAGACCCTCTTTGTCTTTCGATACTTTGTCCAGGTTTAAAAACTATCGGCTGAAATTAGAACTGCCATGCCAGCCTTCCTTGTGGCTTCCACTTGGTCTGGAATACTGATCTCCACCCTTTACTTTTAGTCTATATGCAATCCTTGCAGGTTAGATGTGTTCCTGAAGAAGCCGTATACTTGCTTTCTTCTATATCCATTCAGCCGCTATGTCCTTGAGTGAGAGTTTAAGCCATGTCAATTTATTTTGAGAGAACTGATAGGTAGATATTGTTCATTCTGTTGGGTGGATGTTGTTGCTGTGGATTTCTCTCTTGGAGCCATTGTATTCTGGCCTTTAATCTTTGGGTTTTGTTGTTTATGTCGTGAGTTTTATTATGGTGTTCGGTGCTAACCTGTTGTTGTGAGTTCTGTACGCTGGGTCATCTGGTGAATCTCTGAGAACTTTGCTTAGTCTGGAGAATGTCTTTATTTCTCTATATAGGAACTTGTTTTGCCGGGAATAAGATTCAGGGGGCTGTTTTGTTCAACAAGGTCGAGAACGGGGCCCAGTCTCTCTTTGCTTGTAAAGTCTCATTAGAGAAGTCTGGGTATTATTCAATTGCTCTTCCTTGTATGTTACTTGCTTCTTTCGTCATTACAGCTCTTGAAGGCCCTTTTAGTTGATACTTTTGGTCAGTCTGATGACCGCATGTCGTGACGTCTCCTGTTGCGTTGAATCTCCCAGGGGTCCTCTGAGCTTCTTGAACTATGTATATTGAGATTTGAGCAAGGCGAAATTTTGCTTTGTTATTCTAATAGCTTTCAACCTCGTTATAAAAGGTGATATAGCACATCTTATATTTTCCTGGTTAGAGCTGGAACCCATACTATTAAGTGAAGTTTCCCAAGAATGGAAAAACAAGCACCACATATACTCACCAGCAAATTGGCATTAACCGAGCAGCACCTAAGTGGACACATAGGTACTACAGTAATAGGGCAGGTGGGAGGGAGAGGGGGGTGGGTATATACATATATAATGAGTGAGATGTGCACCATCTGGGGGATGGTCATGCTGGAGAGTCAGACTAGTGGTGGGGGGGGGAATGGGCATTTATTGAAACCTTAAAATCTGTACCCCCATAATATGCTGGAAAAAAAAATAATAGCAAACCAAAACCAGCAGCATATTAAAAGGATTATACACCTTGACCAAGTGGGATTTATCTCAGGAATATAAGGGTGGTTCAATGTACAAAAAGTCAGTCAATGTAATAAGATACCAACCACATTAATATAATGAAGGAAAAAAAGGTTTCTCAATAGATACAGAAAAAGCCTATGACAAAATCCAACATCTTTTCATGATAAAAACACACAAAAACTAGAAATGGAAGGGAACTTCCTCAACATGATAAGAACATTTATAAAAAACCCACAGCTAAAATCATGCTGAACAATGAAGGACAGAAAGTTTTCCCTCTACACTCAGGAATAAACAAAGATGCCCTCTTTCTAGTCAATACTGTACTAGAAATTCTAGCCAGAGCAATTAGGCAAGAAAAAGAAATAAAAGTCATCCAGGTTGAAAAGAAAGAAAGAAAATTATCTCTATCTGCAGATGAGATGATATCATATGCAGACAACCCTAAGGAATATATGCACACACAAAATCAATTAGAGCAATGAATAAGTTCAGTAAGGTTTCAGTATACAAAATCAATATACAACACTTAACTGTTATTTCTATATACTAGCAATGAACAACCCCAAAATGAAATTCAGAAAACAATTCTATTTATAGTAACATCAAAAAGAATAAAATATTTAGGAATAAATTTAACCAAGGAGGTATAAGATTTACTTATACACTGAAAACTACAAAATATTGCTGAAAGAAATTAAAGAAGTCCTAAATAATTGTAAAGACATCCATGTGCATGGATTGGAAGAGTAAACATGTTAAAATGGCATGTTAAAATGGCAACTCTCAAAAGCAATTTACAGATACAATGCACTCCCTATCAACATTCCAACAGTCATTTTACGCAAGTGGAAAAGCTAATCCTAAAATTCTTATGGAACAGCAAGGAGACCCTGAATAGCAAAAACAATCTTGAAGAAGAAAAACATTACAGGACTCACACTTCCCAATTTCGAAACTTAATATACAGTAATCAAAACATTGTAGTACTAACAAAAGAATAAATATACAAATCAATGGAATATTAAGAATCCATAAATAAACCCATACATCAATGGTCAACTGATTTTTGACTATAGGACCAAGACCATTAAATGGAGAAAGAATAATCTCTTCAGCTAATTGTGCTGGGACAACTGAATATCCAAATGCAAAAGAATGAAGGTGGACCTTACCTAATACCATATTAAAAAATTAACTTAAAATGAGTGAAAGACTATATTGCTCTAAACATAAGAGGTTAAGCTATAAAACTGTTAGGAAAAAACATAGCGGTCATGACCTTGGGCTAGGCAATAGTTTCTTAGATATGACACCAAGAGTATAAGCAATAAAAGAATAATTAGATAAATTGAACATCATCAAAACTAAAAACTTTTGCTCATGAAAGAACACTAACTATCAAGAGAGTGAAAACACAATCCACAGAATAGGAAAAAATACTTGCAAATCATAACAGGTCTGTCAGGAAAGTAACCAGCTATGTAATATGAAAAATAGACACATTTATTGAAGAAGATACAAGATACAAGAAACATTGTACATAGGACAATAACACCTCATTCCCCTTCAAAGTAATCACCTTGTGACCTCACATAGTTCTCCTAGCATCTCTTAACCTAACCCGTACACATTCAACATTCTCAGGTGTCCTGCTTATTGCAGGCCTTCCAGAACATGGATCACTTTCAACAGATTCTCAACCATCTTTGAAGTGTTTGTGCCACACTTTTATTTGCGCTATACTCATTACATCATCCCCAAAAGCCTTCTGAATCATCCGAATATTTCCATGGAGGAATGTTCAAGATTAACACAAAATTTGATGCAGATTTGTTGTTCTACTCACTCAGTCATTTTGAATATGATGGCCACACAGCACGCGTGCTCATTCAACAGCGTCTAGTGCACCACTGACTAATACAATGAAGGCATCATTGTTCACACATGCACATTCCATGCCACTCTCCTTGGCTGCTAGGTTACACAGATGTTGTGCAAACCGTTCTCTTTATATTAACAATGGCTGGATACTTTCTGGACAGCCCTTGTATATCTGATAAGGGTCCCATATCCAGAATGTATAAAGAACTCCTAAAGCTCAACAACAAAAAGGACAAAAAAGCCAATTTTAAAAATGAGGAAAGGCCCTGAATAGACATTTCTCCAAAGAGGATAAACAGGTGATGAACAAGCACCTCAATGTCATTAGTCATTACAAAACCACATCAAAAGCCGGGCGCAGTGGCTCATGCCTGTAATCCTAGCTCTCTGGGAGAGCCTCTCTTGGGAGGATTGTTCAAGGTCACTGAGCAAGAGCAAAACCCTGTCTCTACTAAAAATAGAAAGAAATTAATTGGCCAACTAAAAATATATAGAAAAATTAGCCAGGCATGGTGGCACATGCCTGTAGTCCCAGCCACTCAGGAGGCTGAGGCAGGAGGATCGTTTGAGCCCAAGAGTTTGAGATAGCTGTGAGCTAGGCTGATGCCATGGCACTCTACCCTGGGCGACAGACTGAGACTCTGTCTCAAAAAAAATGAAAGAAACAAAAAACAAAAACACATGAAACACCACTTTACATTCACTAATATGGCTATAATCTAAAAACCATAAAATAGCAAAAGTTTCTGAGGATGAGGAGAAACTGGAACCCACATACACTGTTGGTGGGAATAAAAATGGCACAGCCACTGTGGAAAACAGTTTGACAGGTCCTTAATGAGTTAAACAGAATTACTATATGACCTAGCAATTCCATTCCTGGTTAATACCCAAAAGAACTGAAAATAGATGTTCAAACAACAATCTGTCCACATTCATATCCGCACGATTCACAATAGACAAAAGGTGGAAACACCACAAATGGCCACCAACTGATGAATAAATAAACAAAATGTGATATATCCATACAATAGAATAAGGATTATTCGGTCATAGAAAGGAATGAAGGATTGATACATGCTCCAACATGGATGAACCTTGAAAACATTATGCTAAGTGAAAGAAGCCAGACACAAAAGGCCAAACATTGTATGATTCTTTTATATGAAATACCCAGAGTAGGTAAATCCACAGGGACAGAAAGTAGATTAGTGGTTGCCAGGAACTGGCAGTATAGTGGGGGGTGACTGCACGATGGGTACAGGTTTTACTTTTGGGATGATGGAAGTGTTCTGCAACTAGATAGTGGTATGGTTGCACGACATTGTGAACGTACTAAATAACAACAAATTGTATACTCTACAATTGTTAAATTTGTAAATTTTGTTATATGCATTTTACCATGATTTAAAAAAAATAAACACATGCACACATAATTCTGAAAAAAAAGTTCAGAGGAATAACATGAGTAGAAAACAAATTAAGAAATTAGAATCTTTGAAGTATAACAACTCAATAAATTTTTCTCATGGCCAAGCCCTTTCCCTATCTATTAATATATGCCATATCAATGTCTTCAAGATAATGTTGTCAAGGTCATGCCCAGCTCTGCCCTCTGTGGGAGAGGTTACACCCACCTCCAATTACTCGAATATTGTTGTCCTTTGTCAGAATAGCCTCAGCATGGAATACCAAAACTGGAATTCTCCTGCAGCCTCCAGTCCACATGATACATGGATGATCCCTAAAACCGTAACAAAGGCTTCATTAATTTATAGCTCAAAATCTGAATTAACTGCTCAAGCAGATGACCGTGGTTTGTTATTTAGCAATTTTCCCCTTCCTTCTAGAATGAGAATCCCAAATATCCTGTGAAAAATCACTCATTTGCACCCTCCCCCCTTTTTTTGAGACAGAGTTTCACTAGAGTGCAGCAGCGTCATCATAGTTCATTGAACCTCAAACTCCTGGGCTCAAGCAATCCTCCTGCCTCAGCCTCCTGAGTAGCTGGGACTATAGGTATATGTGCTACCATACCTGCCCAGCTAATTTTTTTCTATTTTTTATAGAGACAGGGTCTCACTCTTGCTCAGGCTCATCTCAAATTCCTGACCTCAAGCAATCTGCTCGCCTCGGCCTCCTTAGATAGCTAAGATTGCAGGCATGAGCCACCGCTCCAGCCTCATCTCCCATTCTTAGCCATATGCTTATTTAGGATTAACTCTATCTCTGCTCCAGGGATTGGTTTCATCCAATCAGGGTATTTTATCATTTGGTTATAGTGACTGGTTCAGAGATGGGCACATAAACCAACTGGAGCCCTTGAGTGTAATGAGACATGTTCTGAGACCCTGTGAGAAAGCAATGCTTTCATTCTCTTCTGTAGCAGCTAAACATGATGGCCTCTCTTCCTCTTGATGGTATAGGATGGGAATGAGAAATCTGGAACTGCCACAGCCATTTTGTGACCTTGAGGGGAGAGCCTGGAGCTGCTGGTAAAGGAGGAAGTCAGTGGAAGCCTGACTGAAAGGAGAGAAATGAGATCCTGGGTTCTAAAGTTGGAGTTGTAGAATCAAGACTTACCTAAATATGAATTAATAAATTCCCTTTATTATTTAGGACAATTTGAGTTATGTTTTAATCCCTTATACACATAAAGAATCCTGATATGTTCCCAATAATTTCTATGCCCCTTTTGTACCTTATAGTACCTTTTCAAGCCAATCTGTGACCCATCCCAAGATTCTCACCTAGGAACCCTAAATTGATACAAGTATCCCAATTAAAATCACACATTTTAAAGAAAACCTACGCTAAATGGAACAACATATATTTTCCTCCAGCATAAAACCACAGTACAGAGAGGGACCTCTGACTTTATTCTCTATCCCTAGCCTTAGGAAAGCTCAGTTTAATTAATCTTGGTTAGAGGGATATTTACTCACAGATTAGGAAAATCTTCATCCTTAGGGCAGGGATGTAGGAAGGGAAAGAAAATTAAATGAACTGAGTCACTACCATGTGCCAGGATTTAAACTAAGAGCTTTTGTTAGGTAGTTAGCAAGGGATTCCAGGTCTCCTAAGGACAAAAAGTGGGCACCTTGCCTTGCTGAAACTGCCCCACCTGGGAAGAGGGGCAAGGGTGGGCCCCAGGCCCCCTTGGTCCTGCCCCACTTTGATCCTGCCCTAAGCTACTACCATACCTGGGCAAGGAGGGAATACTCACGAATCTGCCAATCAACTTAGTGTACCACTTGCAAAAGAATGCAGAGGACTCTCTGGCCCACAGGTCAAGCAGCACAGGTACCATAGAGTCTGGAAATTGAACTAGAACAACTTGCAAGCATAGTAATGCAAGTCCCAACTGTCTAATCAAAGTGATTCCACATGTAAGCCACTAAGGGAGGTCCCAATCCAGGCACTATAAAACAAGACGCAGGCCATAACTAAGTCCCTTTTCTGCGCCCTTCCCTTTGCTCTCCCTTTGCTGCAACAATGGGTCTGGTCGTCATCTGTGGCATATGTATCATGCTCTATAAACCTATATCTTGCTCTTGGCTTATAATCCTGTCTTTCTCTCCTCAATAAACCTCATTTTCGTGCTTGCCTTACTTTGGTGTGTCTGGTCATTCTTTGGCCATGAGTACATTAAGAACCAACATTTGAGACTAAAACCCCTGACACTTTCACGTTATCTCATTTAATCCCTGTGCCCACACGATGAACTGAAGAAAAAGTATCTCAGAGAGGTTAAGTAATTCGCCCAAGGTCATGCAGGATAAGAGAACAGGTAGGTATTCGAACCCAGTGTGTATTTTCTTTCCACCCTTTGCCTCCCTAACTGAATTTCAATGAAGTCCTATATATTGAACACCTTGAACTCAACTCATAGGGAATTTAAACTGATTAATTCCTTAAATGGAATAAGATCTATTTAGCTAAGATTCACTCTGTTCTTTAAAACTCACATAACTGTACCCCTTAACAAAGGCCACACCACAAACTTCAGGGCAAAATCAGACCCTTCCAATCCAAATTTTAAAAGATCCACACTTTGAGTGCACAGGCTGCCAGGTACCAATCTTAGAAGTGAGGCAGCCTTTAGATTTGGGATGAGCTGCCAACAGCTTTTTAGTAAAGAAGATCACACCTAGTTCATTCCCTGCTTTCCAGATATGGAATGTGGGTGATTATGGTTCTTGTTCTTTGACCTGGGTAATAATGCCCATTTATGAGAAATGATATCTATAGGGTGCCTTTTTTTAGCAAGGATTTCTTTGTGGCTTGCTTTTTAATCTTAAACAACTGTAAAATGTGGGCATGAGGCCAGATGATTCCTATGATCTCTTCCAACCTTCATTTTTCCACTCTAAGTCAACAAATAAAAAACAGGCAGCCTAAACTACAAAGTCTTAGACAGAAACTTTGGAAACTATCCAAATTTCTCTGTCAATCTAGCACTAGCTACCAACTGGCACCACTATGCCTTAGCATTTACAAACAATGGGTTGCTGCTACAATGCCCCACAAGAGTCAGGAAGACAATAAACAGACAGCTGAGAAGAGCCCAGGCCCTAACTATACTATCTATGGAAAGCCAACCCTCTGACAGAGAAATCTTTTTACTTACAACCTAAGGAAAAATAAAAGAAGGAAAGGCAAATGATTAATTCAGTAAGATCAACTAAAACCCACTTAAGGCAGAGGCAAAACTGTCAGAAAACATGCTCCCACCAGTTGGTGCTAAAAGGAAAAATTCAAAATGATTGGAAAACTGAAAATTGGGACTTTAAATTTTTATTCATATTAGAAACAGGTATATATTAAGAAAATCTACTTTTATAGGCATGAAAGAACAAAGCATTTGAATGATCAGTTATTCAAGTAGCCTGGTTTCATGGTTCACTTTATTGAAAGCCTAAGAACATTTTAGTTTTTCAGGAGTAATTTCATGAAGAATGTTCACTTCTGGGACCCAGCCTATATAATTCAAAGACAGATATGTAAAGCAGCTTTTTTATTCCTGCTGCTAAGCCTTCTTCATACCACTGCCCCTGCTAGAAATGCCTTCCCCACTTCTCTGTTGAAGCCCACTCCCCAAGGCCCACCTCAAGTCTCCCACCTCCATGGAGCCTTCCCCAGCTTTTCTGAACTCCTGAAGCATTCACTTTATAATTGAATGTTGATGATCATTTTAACTGATAGAAAGCCAGCTTTTACGATAGAAATTAACGTTACTATTTTTTCAGTGAGTAAAGAAACTTTAAATCAAGTTCTTATATGAAAGTTTCTATATCTACATATAAATTTTATTTGGGATCCCTGAGTAAAATATAGAAAAATAGCTTCTTTACATTTACTGCTTGAAATAATGCCATGCAAAATAAGAACTGCCTGGACAGGCCAGGATTGCAAGGCATTAATATCTTAATACAGCCTGGGGATCTGAGCAGATCAAACACATATCCATGGATATGTATCTTTGGATCAAATCAACATCAATTAACAATCGTGATTAAAGGCCTTTGAACTTCCTAATCAACTTTTAAAATGTAAACCTTCTGCTCCAGGTATGAACAAGATTGATTTAAGCTTCCTAATGTATGAAACAACTACTTGATAGGCAAAACATAAGCTGATGAAATAAGACTAGCAGTTAAAAATCAACAGTAGGAGTTTCAAAGGAAGAAGATCAAAAGGTCCACAAATTTGGATGAGAGGCGGGGAATTACACCTTTATTTTCACTAACTTCTACTAGAAATTTACTATTTCTCAATTATGAATATAGGCAACCAATATAGTATTAACAGCATTAGCATTATCTATGCCTTTGACTCTATCTGAAATTACAGGTACTTTTATACCCCATTACAGTTGTAGATATCTCAAAATATCATTTATATTTATCACTATTTCTAAGTTAAGGTAGTTATTAGACTACTCACTGTATCACGTGATCGCAGTCTATCTAGATGCTAGTGTAATGAGACTGGATAAAAATTGGGTAACTCCCGCCCTAGTAATCATTCAGTCACAAAATAGGGACATCTCATGTTGGTGGTCCAGATGTCTACGCTGCTTCTCAGTATTCCGCATCTATAATTGTTAATCAAAGAGCGCCCCACAGCATAAAGATCATATAGAAACTAAACAAAAAATCTTCATGCTGTTCTTTAGAAAATAAAATTTAACTTCCCTGGATTTTAAATGATCTCATTATGTAATGTATTAATTTAAAAGTACATATTACTATATTACAATTTTTTAATATTTTGATACTGCATTTCAATGTAATTGGAACTCTTTGTAATAATATGTATTTTATTTTAAACACTTAAAAATATTATTCTGATAGGGGATTCATGGCATAAAAAACTTTTAAGAATTCTGATCTAAGGTGATGTAAAATATAAAGCCTTCATTTATTCATTCAGTTAGTAATTCAGTCAGCAAGTACTTATTGAAAACCTACTACAACATTAGAACACACCAACTACAATTGTCAATATTTGACTGTTTCTGACCAACCAAGATGGCAATTTGATATAGTGCAATCTAATACTTGTCAGGCCCAACTTCTAAGCCCACTAATAAGAGAGATAGTAATGGAGTAAAAAAACAATCTTGAAAATAGAAATACTGATATTTACAGCAGAAGTTAAAAATTGTGTGAAATGGGTAAGACGCAGCACACTGAAAGCAAAAAGTCACAAGAAGGCAAAGTAACCAAAGGGAATTATCCATTTAATTATCCTGAATGAGAATGACCCAAATATATCATCAAATCTCTATTATTTTCCATGACCTAACAATGATGAGAAGCCTTTCCTCAGAGCTTTATTAATGCTTAAATAATTTTTTTTCAAATTACATTAATATAATCTTTTACCTTATAACAAGTCCTCCATAAATTCAATATTAAAACCAGTAAGAATAATGCTTTCTATTTGTATAGCACTTTATAACTTACAAAGTAACTTCACATACATTATTCTATTTGATCCTAACCACATCCCTACAAAATAGCCAGGGATATATATATTACCTCTGTTTTTTAGATTACAGAGCACATACACATATCCAAAAGGACTCACAAAGAATCTTAAAACAAATTTTAACCTTAAGCCAGACTCCCTTTTTACTGTGTCAAATAATAAGTAGAGGAAATAAAAGGGCAAGGTGCTTCAAAATCCAGGAAAGTTAAGTCTGAATCTCAATCCATCACTTACTCTCTATGGGTCCCTGAGGAAGTGTCTTGGTATTTATAAGACTGAGTTTAATAAAGTGAAAATAATAACATTTTCAGATTAAATAAGATAGAGTAGTTTAATCTTCATATTAAATAAGATACAGGTAAGATAAAGCCTTTATCATCATCTATAGCAGCTGTAATCACAAAACTTGACTCTCACCTAAAAGAACTCAGGAAAGTAATGTGGTTCAGTGGACATAGCATATGCTATAGAATTCTAATATCCTGGCCCAGAATTACTATCATAAGTTACCTGACCCCTCTACATTACTACCATTCTATCATTGTAAAGGCTTTTGAGAAAATTAGCAAAACATAACCAACATCAGTCAAAGAGATTGGAGACCCACTTTTCCTCAATCTTGAAAAATTTCAAAATCTCCTATGTTGGCAGCTCTGAGCAAGGGTTCACCAAGAACTACTACCTGCATCTTACAACATCTAGAGCTCATGTTCATGCATGAGCCCAGAAACAGAGCCTTATCTCATTTCTGATAGTTGAAGGGGACTGCATAATAAAATCTTAAGTTAGATTATAGATAGAAGCTAAAACCAGGGTCAGACAATACCAAAGGAAGGACATTGGATAAAAAAGTATATGAGTAAAAGAGAACTATTTTTCATCCTAAAAGCAAAAGGTCAAAAGCAAGCTTGCTATTACTTACTCTTGGCTTACCACCTCCTCATCCTCTGAGGATGATGCTGTTTCTTCCAGGTCCCGGGCCATGACGACTGGCATTTCCTTTAGGGTTTCTCATGCAGTCAGCACACAGGGGCCTCAGAGACCTTTTCTTGCAGATTCACTGGATCAAACAATTTGGATGGCACAGATTCCTGCAAGAAAGTCAACTAATCTGAAACATAATGCAGTTGTCTATTGATTATTGCTGATGATCTTCCAAATCATAAAAATGAAAATATTCCTAAACAGTGCCCAACCTCTAGAAGCTTACCTTCTATCACAGTGCCTCAAATATGCCACAAAAATCAAGATTTTTTTCAAGCACACTGTCTGTGCTTTATTTATTTGAAGAGCTGTTATTAAGTCTGAGTTAGTTGCTCAGTTGTCTTTTATATACTAAATGTAACATGCACCAAAAGGACAGACTCACTTCACTTTTAGGGCAGTCTGAGGTAGGTGACTGATTCATAAAACACAGATTCCTTGCTAGACAAACCTGACCTGGGTTAAAAATAAATAAAAGCTCAAGGTTTTTTAAGACCCTTGCAAATATTTATTCCACACTATGACAAGCACACAGGAAAGATACCATCATGTTTCCAGTAAAAGAAATTCAACAATGAACCAAAAGAGTAACATATTCTCCTGAATAAAAAGGTCATATAAATAGCTGGGGGGGTGGGGGGGGAATACCACTGCTCTTCCAAACACTCTTAAAAATTTTTCTCCCTTACTAAAAACTTGGATCTTAATCTCAAATAGGCATTAAAATTGGGATATTTCCAACACTCCATTTCTAACTTCAAATATTTTTTCCATAGGAAAAGAATACGTGTTTGTTGAGCGTGTTAAAGAAACAGAAACTGCAGATAAAGAAAATGAACACGTTCATTTTCCCGTGACCATAATCCCATTACTCAGAGATAACCACTTGGTGCCAATCTTTCCAAACTCTACTTTTCTATGCATTCACAGATACGATAAGATTATAAATAAGACAAAAAACAAAACAAAACACCAACACCGATAATGATCCCTACAGATCTTGAGCGGAACGGGCAATATCCAACCACCTCAATGACGTTATTCCAGGGATTCCCAACGGGATTTCTCGACCTTTCCCAAAACGCTGGCAAGTCCTTTAAGTTAAAACAAACAAAACCTCCAGGCCAGGAAAGGACGCCAACCTTTCCTGCACTGCCTGCAGAGCAGCGAGAAACAGGACGGTCGAAGAAGATTAAGGACACTCGCGTAATGACAGTCCTGGCCCTAAAGGGATCTGCCCCTCAGCCCCCCTCCCCCAGCTCACCCCAATCCCAGGTAGGTCCGCAGGTGTTTCCCCCAGGAAGGACAAGGCGACTCCGCTGCAGTGATTCAACCTGGCGCGCCCGGAAGCTAACAGCTGCTCCCGGGCTCTGAGAGGGAAACGCAGCAGACCGCGCCGGCCCGGAACCGGGAACGCACCTCCCTCGGGTAGGGAAGTGCGCCGGCGCAGACCTTTACCTGTCTCATCTTCACATGGCTCGGGGCGGGCAGGCGGGGACCGCGCTCTGCGCCTACCTACTTCCTCCTTCCCCAGCCCGGCTCACGGCGGCCGCCGACGGCTGCTTCCCCCGTTACTACAACAACCAACAAGCAACCGCCCGCTCAGAGCCAGTGCGCAGGCGCCCGCCACCCGGCGCTGACAACACTCGGCTGCGGGCGCGGAAGAATGTCGTCACCGTAGCGCAGCGCGGGAGCGAAGCCCTGCTCTTGGCAGAAGGGAGTCTTCTTTTTTCCACTTTTTTTCCTCCGCCCCTAAAAGGTTGACTCACACCCAGAGTTCCGCCACGCTCAACAGGAGGGTTTACTGCGTGAGCGGCGTACTCCGGGAAAGGCTTAGGTAGCGGCAACCGCTGATTGGCAGTAAAGGGGTTCACTCCCCATCTCCTGCTCGAGCAAAATCGACACAGCCAATCAGAGCGAAAATTGACGGAGACGACCCAATCCTGGAGCCGGGCTGAGGACGAGGGCGGGAACAAATGGCTCGCGTGGACTCCCGGCTGGAGCAGTCCTGGGGGAGCTTGTTTGCTGCCTCTGCTCCTGTGGTGCTAGGAGTCCGGTCGTCAGGTAAGGAGAATATGGGAGAGAAGAGGAAGGTAGGTGTCTGTGTGGAATCTGGTTGACAGAATACGAAGAGTCTGGGAAAATGGGGGTGGGATGGGAGGAAGATACCTGGGAGGCAACCTTTTGGGGGAGAAGGCTTGAGAGATGAGGACAAGGGGGCGCTAGGAAGATGGAGAAGGCTTGGTAAATTCAGCGAAGGAATGGATGAACGAATGAGCAGCCACTGTGAGCCCATCACTATGCAAGGAACCTTCACTTTTTCTCGTATAATTCTTGTAAGAACCCTTGAAGTAGATATCTATTATCTCCATTTTGCAGAGGAAACGAGGCTGAAAAGTGTAAATGACTTGCCCAGGGTCACACAGCTACTAAATGGTAAGGCCAGGATAGGAATCCCTCTCTCAGTGACTCTTAAGTTTTAACACCACACCTATGCTGGGCTTGGCCAGGGCAAAATTTGAAATAGATATTATATACACTCTAGGAGGCCCTAAAGCTTTAGGGAAACAGGAATTACCATAGCAATTTGGAAGTGCTCAGGCTCTGTCATGAGCTACCTGTTGGGATTTCTAAGAGCTTCTGTGAAATGGAAGGCATAAGTTCTGCTGAAAAGGGTAGGGGGTATGCATGTAGCTTTTCTAACCATGAAAAGAGACTGAGTGTCCTATTAGAGAGGGTGAGAAAATAAAGAGGATAGGAGGGTCTTGGCGCAGGCTATACCTGCTGTGATGTCCAGTAGGCCCCTACTCTCTCTGGACTTGGACAGAGTCAACCTTTTGATACACCTTTCCTTGAGAGACTCATCAATTCACCCTTCCTCCTCTAGAACTCTTTTATGTTCATTTTTTGGGTGCTTCATACTGTCTTGAGCCATTGCTGACTTTAATATATATCTCAACTGGGTAGTGTAGGACAATACTAAAACTTCTATGCCAAAGTGGCAAAGGAAGCCTGATCGTTTATTACCACTTTATAGCCAAGAAGTTAACCTGACAACAGATAAAACATGGGCTAATAATAATAAAGATGGGAAGAAGTTCTTCCATTATTTGATTCTTTATATTTATATACTTAATTCAAGCTCATTGAAATCACTACTCAAGAAGGGTTGATCTAACCCTTTTAACAAAAAAACACAAAGTATGTAATCTAATTGTATTTTCTATACAACTTGAAGACAAAAGTGGATATGGTACACTTTTCTTTCTCCAAAATGGGAACTTCATCAAAATCTTCTCAGTGAGGTGGAATTGCAGTTCTGCCATGTATTAGCTGTGTGATCTCAAGAAACTCATTTAACCTCTCTGTTCCAACCTTCATCTATAAAATGCAAATATTAATAGTGTCTAACTACCTTATTATAAGGATTAAATAGGTAATGTATGTTGGCTTCTTGCGACAGTGCTCAGCACAAGTGGCCAATAACTGATAGCTATTATAATTTCTTTTGCAACCCAACAGTAAGATTACTGTTTCTATCTCCATATAATTTTGTACTATTGTAAAGTCACAGTAGTTTATTTTTAACTTTTAGATTGTTCTTCTAGTTTATGGAGCATGGTGTACCTGAGAACCCAGAGTACAGAAAACCTAAGGATGTAAATAGAGCCCTCACACCATAAGTTCCACTCAAATGTATAAGGCTTCTATAGGCTCAGAAGAATCTGTCATCAATAGCCAGGCAGGTATCTGTGAGTAGATTTATAATCACCTTTGAGCCACCTGAATTACAAAGCAATGGCATGAAAAAGTAAAGATATAAGAGAACTGATTCCAACTAACAAGAGATTCCAACTAACAACTGATTCCAACTAACAAGAGATATTTTGGAGAAATTGCTTAGACAAAGATAAGTACTGTGCCACTTATTGCAAAGTATACTGTTTATTCACTAATATTTGTGTGACTAAATACTGAAACCAATTTCCATAAACTTTACACAGAATCCATTTGATTAGTTTATAGTAATATTTGTACACCTCCTTTTGTTCTCCCTTTTTTCTCACCATTTTCTCTGGCTAGATTTGTTATTTTCACCCACTATGTTATCTAGCTGTTGTCACTCTGGGTAAAGATCAGCGCACACGTGACATAGGGTACATATTCAAAGGTAGCATGCTAACCCTGTGAAGTAAGAGTACTGTGTTAAGAAACTGGGGGTGAAGGAGCCTAGAGAACTTGGGCAGGAATTTATGAAGTGATTGGCCAGCTAAGCGCTCATGAGTGGCATACAGGTTAACCACAAAGGTGAGAGAGCTTATGGTTGAAGCAGGCTGACCTTCAGTGTCTTATGTCCTCTGCCTTTGTTTCCAAGGCAAAAAGCCCTCTCAGGTTTAAGGGGCGTCATGAGCCGTTTCCTGAATGTGTTAAGAAGCTGGCTGGTTATGGTATCCATCATAGCCATGGGGAACACACTGCAGAGCTTCCGAGACCACACCTTTCTCTATGAGAAGCTCTACACTGGCAAGCCAAACCTTGGTAAGAAATCAAAGAATTTCTACATCCTTTGTAGGACTAGCCTACATTGTGATTCCCAAACCAGGCTGTCCATCAGAATAATGTTAAAAACAAAGCACAGGTACCCATTTCCTTCACTAAACCTATTTATCGAACCCAGGTGGGGCCCAGGACTCCAGTTTCTAAATACTTCCCAGGTAGATTCTGGTGCTGCCTTATCTGGCCTTTGGCAACCACTAGAGTCATACTTTGTGGTGGGCACTTGACCCTTTTTCCTGCCAAGCTTCTCTGAATACTTTTTCATTCATTTTACACTTCCCCGGGCAATTAGTGTGTACAAAAAGCATGATAAGGGCAAGAGAGGAAATAATAGAGTTTCCTGGTGGCTCTGTGATGCCCCACTAGAAACTCATAAAGAAGTTTTTCATATTATCTCAAAGCCCTTTTCAGAAATCATGTGGAGGCACACATGGTTTATATTCTGTGTTACAGATGGAGAGTTACGAATCCAAGGTCTTCCTGTGACATAGTCCCTCCCAGTGGGTCTCCCAAAATGAAACTTCACAAGGCCCATACTGGCCTTTCCTAGCTTCCTGAGCCTCTCTGCTCAGAGTGTTTGTACATTTCAGCTTGCACTTCATCATACTGATGTGCGGGGTAGTTAGAGCTGCAGCATCATTTCATAGCAGCTGATGATTCTTTGTCACATTTATAGCTAACCCAGATTCAGGCTCTGACCTAGCTCATTTTTATGCAATGTCTGGGCATAAAATGAAATTAAATAGGCTAAGTCTCATTTTGAGCAAAGCTCAAATATATTTGGATTAAAGAACCTGGAAAAGTGAGTAGGACAATTCCATATTTTCACCCTCAGGTGATTGTGGAACCCTGTATAGATTAACAGGTTTTTAGAGGTTATCTGGTCTAACCTTTGAATTTAAAGTTGAGACAGAGAAGCCCCGAGGTCATGTGACTTGCAGAAGGGCATCTAGGTGAGCAGAACTCTATGTGTATATTTTGCCAGCCCAGAAGTGGGGGCTGCCTCCTCTTGTGCTCTGGGGGCTGTCATGATACTCTTCTGATTGTTGCAGTGCTCTAGAGTGACCCATTGAATTTCACCTGCGGTCTCATTTGGTTAGGTCTGGTGAAGTACTCCATTTTAGTAATTTCAACGACTACTAGTTAATAAAGAATGTAGCCCTCCCGGGCTAATGCTAGATATTGGGTTGGCATATAGAATTTTTTTCTCACTACCATCTAAAGATCTGTAGTGTTGTAAATTTGATGGAACTGTCAGGCTTTCCAACGGCTGGAAAAATCCTTAAGGCCCAAGTAAACATTAATAGACCTTTTAGTTGTTAGTTTTGTCCTTTAAAGTTTCTCTTACTCAGCAAGCAATACACCAGCAAAGGAAGTATCTTTGCTTTCACTCTTCTGGCATTCCCAAGCCACTGGATGCCTTGGGAATGCCAATTGCTGTGCATTTAAATCACCCAAGCAGGGAGTTTCTAGAAAATACTTATGCCAACAATCTACCACCATAGAATATCATATAATTGGTCTGGCAACCAGGCCTTGAAATTTTATAAAACTCCCTCAGTTGATTGTAATAAAAGCCCAAGGTCAAGAACCACTGTTATGGTGGAATATGACCCATACTTTCTGGACAAAATATTTAATACACCAGTGTCTGAATGAAGCCACCAAGAGCAGGGTGCCCCCAGCAAACACCAAAGAAACAGTGTGTTGTTCTACTACTATATGCACAGGAAACCAGCCTGGTGTTGGCTTCATTCAACAATGTAAATCTAGATTCAAGAAGAGATGCAGTGACTTAAATCTCTTGAAGACCGTATGTGGGCATTTAGATTGGTCCCCAGTATCTCTGAGTTCTCTCTTGGATCAACCTTGAAAGTCTGCAGGCTTCCTAGGCCTCTTGTATTGATAGACCATTCTCTGCAACATTTTCCCAAACCTGTCTGATCTAGACCCAACGAGCTGTCAGGGGCAGAGGGTATAAACTACTACATC